GGAGCTACCTGACGCAGCATGAGATGGTTTATTTCCCTTTTTTCAATTGTTTTGATTACTATTATATTCTTGCTATATTTATGAATTTATTATTGGACATCGTTACATATTTAATAGTTTATCACTTGCTCGCTTCTTAGGACAAAAAAGAATGTACGAATGCACCGTTGGCAATATAAGACCATATCCACCTCGGGTAGCAGACAGAGCCTTCCAAAAATCTATTCTGTCTCATATATTTCTCCCTACATGCAAGAATCACCCAAAAAAAAGAAGGCTCAAAAGAGAAGGGCCAACCGCAAAAGAAAGGTTTAAAAAATTGTTCCTATTGTAAATTTTCGGCAGGATTGTTCTTGAACACGACTAGTACGCTGCCAATTTCTTTTGTAACTGTGAGATAATGAAGGTATACCGTACCTTGCAATGAATAACGATCACGTTGTTGTTGTTTAATGTAAGCCATTGTTCAAATTGCTTGCAAAGGCTGCATAATCTGTCCAGCGGTGGAGCTAATCGTGGTGGCCATCCACTGTTTTCTACTGCTAAACATCGTGTAAGGTCGTGCCGTGGTCGTGAAACGTTCCATACCTGAAAGGGTCCCTCAAATTAACAACACCTAGCGAAACACTTGAGAAAAATAGGGCAGGATGATCTTTCATGAAAGCATCAAAGGAACTGAAACCATAACTGCAGAAGGATAGAAAGTTTTCTACATCTGAAAAATTCCGTTTCTGGAATGCGCCTCGCACTCGACATCCCCTCAGGATCTAAAGACGTATGCGGCCTACACAATGAATATCGATGGCCAGTCAATACACAAGTCAAGGCTTTTATCTGCCATACAAGTCTTGTATCAACTACCCTGGAGATATGAAAGGCTTCCGTTGCTGGGAGGGGTATGGGTTCGGAATTATTGAAGACGGGATACATCGTTCTCGCATCATCAGAATTCTCTTAATGCAGGACTCGGACCCTGGACCACCTGGCACCGTTAGGCGCTATGAGGCGCTTCCTTGGCTATGGAAAAAGGGAGATATTTATTATAAAATATTGGAAGTTGAACCACAGGGCAGATGCACTATTTCAAGTTGTTGGACCAGACGGAGCCCACTTAAAATTGTCGATGTGCCGCAGTAATCGAATTCAGTGACCTTATGGGCCATTTTTCGGACGAGTCTCACCTTGTAGTGCTCGAAATGCTTCGTCTTCAGAGCTAATGCCGCATTTTTTAGAGACGATACATAGGCCTTTTCGGTGCCTTCATCCGGAGAAGCGAGAACTAAAAAAATGATGCTTGGCAGTAATACTAAAGGGTTATGAATATAGTAACAAAGTAACAACCAAAAAGACTAACCTATAACTCGAGCTGTAACATACTGCAATGTGAGGCCTTCGTCAACCGATCCGCAACCAACCATGCGAGGACACTGAAAGTACATCGGTTTAGTATAGGGGCCCGGTTAATAAAAACTTAACAGCTCATAGAAACAGAAATTGGGAGAAAGACGAGGAGTTTGTATGAAAGCATCGCTTCCGAAAAACCTATTTCTGTTGATCAATTTTCAATTAATTCCATCTTGATTCAGTCTTTCATACTTCAACGGCCTATTAGTTATCACCGACATCATCAGAGGAAACAAATAAGTGGGTGTGATGCAGTAGGACCGAAATCGTCGCGTCGCGGCGAGAGAGACGCTGCGGGCGAAGAAATGTAGCAGAATGCAGCGGCAAGTAAGAAATACAGGAACAAAAGCATTAACATTAGAATCATGCCAAAATAATATGTACGAAGAACGCTAGAACTGTAGTGAGGCGAATGGTCCGCGACTGCCGCGCGCGGCGAATTGATTACATAAAACCGATCCTACCGCCCGTCTCCCCAAATAAGTTGCCTGCATTCCTAAAAACTGCCACCATATAGCAGTGTAATGAGGACTATCAAAACGTGGGACAAATCCCTAATAAGCACCTCCTTTCTCGACCATTTTCTCAATTAGAAAAACGCATTGAGATACTTTATAACTGGAAGAGTTCGATGGGCGGAGGTGGTGGAGTGGCAAAAGGCGCACTATCATGAACACTCATGCTTCCAGGACCGGATCAGGATTGATACAACGATCCATGCCCAAGTTAACCAACCCCATCCCTCAAAGGACGGGGAACGATACAAAACTCGTCTGGGAAGATAAAAGCACTGACCTGCACACAGGTTAGCCACCACAATTTGCCGTATATGCCACATACGCAGTCGAACATCACTACGATTCTGACTGGAAGCCAAATGGGGCAAGGGCAGTCCAAAACGAATTTGACTAATGCCAAGGAGTTTAGTCCTTTTGAACTTAAGCGAATGCGACAAGTAACCCAATGAAGGTGCTGTTGTTGGTGAAAGTTAGATGACCTTATTCACTGACTGCTCATGATTTGGGACATTTTAAAGAAAGTCTTTGAATTCAATCGAAGGAAGACAGAAAAAGTGGCAAAATGAAACAACCAAAAGAACGGAACATGAACGGAATAGAGAAAGGGACCGATCAAAAAAGTAATATGTACTCCACCCAAACCTCCAGCACCTATCAGAAGTGTTTTCTGAGGCGATGGCTAATTTTGCACCGGGTATGTCTCAGGTTACACTGGGGTTCGCTTACATAAGTGCCGCCGCTCAGAGGGAGCCAGTTAGCAAGTTCATGCTACTTGATATTTGATAAATAGATTGAAACAACAGTTTTGAACAATTCACTGATCCCACAGATGGTACGGTTGTCTAATTAGAAAGTCTCTTCCACGAAAGTAGTCCCAATAACGTCGTAAAAGTCACTTGCGGAAAAGGAAAAAGACCAGGAATCTCTACAGCCACGAGACCTTCCGATCTCGAAGAAATCGTTCCAGTCAAAAGTAAAAGACAAAGAAGCACCCGCTTCGCGCTTTCCTGTTCGATTCTGCTGTCTTTCCTGCTTAGACATACGAATCGGAGACTTGGACTCTACGGAATGGGCTGAACATGCTGTCAGCGACGGTCAACGCGCTTTGGAAAAGACGATTCTCGGAAGTTTGCTATACACGCAAGTGCAGAAGGGAATCCGGAGCTCAGTCATAGAACGAAGATCAAAGATGCCGTTGAATACGCCAAGAATCCGAAAATCAAAAGGGTAGGTCACGTTATCATCATGGTCGTTGTAAGGGTGGGTAACCGACATTATCCCCTGGGACGTCAAACGAACACACTACGGTCACCAGAGCGATGGTCCAACTCCTTCGCGAATGCTTCAAACAAAAGGAATGTTGCGCCTCGTGTGTCTCAAGCTAGGACGATCCACCACATATCCTATTTCGGGGCAAAGACGTTTTGCAAATTGAGCTGGTGCAAAACTCTGCTGACAGTATAGTACTAACAAAGTAAGGTACTAATCATATCAACATCGATAGATTGGCATAAATAAACAAGGTTATGCTAAATAAATTATTTGTATTAACTTGATGAATTTGCTAACTGTTGTTATTCACTGCCGCATTACGCGACGGAAATTCCTACAAGATTGACGAGTTGTGGGCAAAACTTTAACCTAGGACTGGACTCGAACCTGTACTTGGGCTTTCATGCCATCGTGCTTTCCATCCCTTACTTTTTCTCTCGTTTTAACAGTAACTGTTGGAATATCAGTATTAATAATACAAACGAATAATACAAGTTATAATAAATGAATAAATAACGGTGAGCTTAAACACCAATATTAATAATACAAATTCAATAATATAATTAATAGCACATTAAGGTAACAATAGGAGAGGAACTGAGTGAGAGTAAAACATGTCTAAAATTAAGAAGAAGATTTCTGACTACCCGAAAGCTCGATTTCTTCAATATGCATCAGGATGCTCGCGACTGCGCGCGATCGTGTGCGGCGGACGCGACGTCATTTTCGGGAAGAAGTTATCGGATCCGGAGGTGTTCAACTAACAATAAGATGATATAACGGCAATTGCTTCGAGATGGTTTCATGTAGAACGGAATTCGCCCGCCTCTATGATGATATTGACAATACTAGCGACAAATAATGATTAACTCAATCCCAATTTACAGGGAATCAAATGCCTTCAAATGGAGTCTCAATCAAATCCTGCTGAACACTTTATCGGTGAGGGAGCGCAGACAAGCAATTCGAGGCAACTAACAAGGATGCTGAGGGATTGAGAGCATAATGACCGCTTTTAGCAAGTAGTGTGAAAAGTTTCAATAGAAGAGCATGGTTACAAGTGTTGACTAAGTATATGGCAACGTTTCTTTAACAAAATCGATATGCGTCATTCTTGAGACGTCTCTTCGAATTAATTTTGCTAGCCTTCCTCATGCATATCCATTTGCTTTCGTGCCCGTAAACTTTTTTGGTAAAAGTAATACGTGAGAAAGGCTAAGCAGTGGTAGTGGTCAGATCCAATGGAAGAGTTAACATAATATTCAATAATAAATATGATATAACTCATTGTCGTCCAGGGAGGTCTTTAACTATCTATGAGTAACCTATCTATTCCCAAGGTACTGCCGATTTTATGTTTGGAGATCAACGGGGCTGGATGAATAGGAGTTCCGGGATACGATTTCAAAGGATGAGAATAAGTAGTTGTTGAGGCCGAATTCTCTCCACCGCAGTAGTGCTGTTGATGCGTTGCGTGCAGAAATAAACAAGCAAGTAAACAAGTCCATAAATGGTGAACGCTGTAAAAACAGTTTATGACATGGCACCTGTGGTTGGTTTGTGATTTGATCGATATTATCATAGGTAATCATGAGAAATTACGAAGTACACTTCGATTCGAAGACATGGTCTATTCCTAGAGGTGACCTCAAGGGTCTGGAGTTGCCATTGAAATCGACGCGCCGAATAACGAGCAAAAGCTAGCAAAAAGATGATACAACCACCTCGCGACATCAAAATTCTGAAGAGTTGAGAAAATGAGGCTGAAAATCTTCTGTGGTCCCCTGGGGCAAGGACATGTTTTCTTGACCTTTCGTGCTCGTGATCAACACTTTCGCTTCTCCTTCAACTGACATAACTCGGGATATACTGCACAAGAGATTACTCCCTTGATGTCAAAACTGACATTCGACTTTTGCGACTTTCCGAGAACAACCACAGCTTCTGCCCTGAGGGTCCTCAAAAATAGATAGCACATTCGGAAATTTCTGAGACGATGAGGATTTTTCATAGTTTGAAAATGGGATTGTTTTTTCCAAAAATATGATGAATCCGGTTCCACATGAACTCAAATAGCTTTTTCAGCCATAACAAGCTCAGATGTTCTGGTTCCCGACCGTTGAGAAGTAGCTATGAGGTGCTCGGTATCGGTAAATTACATATTTTAACTCAAAGAGCAAAAACAAAAGATCTAGATGGCATGGGCAGATGTGACTCTATGGCATAAACAAAGCCTTTATCCTTGGTTTTTACCCAGAGATATTCCTACATTAGCTTGGCCTCTAACGCTATCTGACCTATTATTTGTTGGGGCCAAATATGCTTCTAAAGAGGGCATGAAAGCAAATTGAACGTATCACAACAAATTTCAGTAATCAGGACAGATCATTTCGGCATGTTTCGGCATTATTTAGAAATGTCGTTCTAGATATATTTCAATTTTCAGAGATTTTATTTGCAACCGATTAGTTCACAATATAAGAAGCTCTGGGAAATAATAAATGAAAAAAAAGATCAGACTTCCAACAAAACGATGGAATTTTAGAGATCGAAAAGACTTCCTTTAAAAATAAAAAAATAAAAAACAAGTGCGCCATTATTATACCATTGTTTCTATTGGGAAAGAATTATCGAAAAACTATTGAAGTGGCAAGGAAGCAAATTGCTCTTGAAACCTTAAAGAAACGAGAAATTATTGACAAAGTTCTATTTGGGGCTCAACAAGGCAATGTTGGTAGAAAGTAATGGATGTAGTAATGGTTTCCCGGGGAAACCCGGTTAGTGAACTACTGAATCATCCAATTTAAGGACAACAAATTGACGGAAATCACGGTAGACGGCGAGAAACGAAAAATCTGTGCAGCCGAAGGAAACCCACATTCCTTCAGAAGCTAATCAAATTATCGATCTTTATCATAGAAAATCAATGAGATGAATNTTCTGCTTGGGGCTGGATAAGGCGATGTTGGTAGAAAGTAATGGATGTAGTAATGGTTTCCCGGGGAAACCCGGTTAGTGAACTACTGAATCATCCAATTTAAGGACAACAAATTGACGGAAATCAAGGTCGATGACAAGAAACGAAAAATCTGTGCAGCCGAAGGAAACCCACATTCCTTCAGAAGCTAATCAAATTATCGATCTTTATCATAGAAAATCAATGAGATGAATCAAAACGTCTCCAGACGCACTTTCTCTGTCGGCCTCAGTAGGACATTGTGGAGTGAGTTAAA